GTACAATTCGCATTAGCCTGCTGCGCGGGTTTCAATCTACTTTCCTACGGGATTTCGACGTTCCCCATCATTTTCTTCCATCCTCCCCTGAACCCGAGTTTCCCAGCTGAAAGTCGGATTAAAGACAGATCCCGGGTGTAGCGATTTTTACGTCGGTAATGTCCGTTGATCGATTCGAGGAGTTACATCGAAATTAATTTATGCAAGGGATTTAACGCGGAATTCACGCGGCTGCTTGATTACTCGAAGGCAGGGATTTCGAGATTTTTATTTCAGCTCGTGGCACGGAAGAATTACGGTACTGAATATTGAGACTACAACGCGCATGCTGCGTTACGCGAGATATTATTTTCAAATTTCGCGATTCTTACCGATCCCAGAGTTTTCAGTCGTGCTTAGTGTTGATTTATTCGTGCATACGCTGGCATTGTAACGCGAGCGGTCTGGACAACGCATGAATATTGTTTCGTGATGAATGATATTCTTTTATGCCATGAAATTTTCTGCTTCGAGCGTTACCGATTTCTCTTACTGCGGTTAATGCGGAGATAAATAGGCTGCACTGCGAAATTCTTGAAACGAATTGATTTATTCCGAAATATAAATCACCGAAAACGTCGGCGAGTGTGTGTACTCTTGTAATTTCCGAGGGAAATGCTCGGCAGAGGCAAGGGGTTAATTATCGTTCCACGCGAGCGACGACACCGCGGCCCGACCTATCCGGCTCGCGCTGGAATTTATTCAAAACGGTCGATAAGTTCTGGACGCGACGTGATACCGTGAAAATTCAATTTCTCCCGGTCCCGGCGGGACGTCCACGAATTTCAGGCCAGTCGACGCACGCCGGACAATTGTCTTCCTGGGAAAGAAGCGGGGTTGAATGTATCCCGGGTGAAAATACTCGCGCGGCGAGCGCGCGGGCGAGTTTCTGCCTGTTCAGCCTTGTCGCGCGGATTTCTAGAATTCTTCTGAGCTTCGCTCGTCCCGGGTTTCGCCGTAAACGCAACGCCACTTCAGAGAGACTCTTCTTCTTTGGCCGTTTGCCTTGTCATATGGCGAACGTCTATTCCCCGGCTTCTTACAAACCCGGATTCGCGGCGCAACGCCATAACACCGGGTAAACAGCATCCGTGAACGCCTTTAAAGGCATTCCGCGTCGAGTTGATTCGAACAAAAGAATATCAAGCGGATTGTCCGTTATCTTCTTACGTTCATTGTTACTTTACTATGACACAGGGAATACACGGATCGGATCGAATTACTAAAGCGAACGAATGAAAATATATTGGAAGCGGAGTCCGTATTGAAATCGGAGAAACGACACGATAATTAATTAATTCAAATTAATTAACATTAATTCATTTAACTCGACACTGTAATTTGCATCGATACTCTTGCAGAAATTATATCATTTCTGAAAATCCGTAATTACCGGTGGATAAAGAGTAAAACAATGCAAGACGACGACAACGTAATAAATCCTAGAACAACACGATACGCGATCGAGAAAAATCATAGAAAACTCTTCGATCAATTAAATACAAGAACTATAGATGAAATCACCGTTATTTCAATATTCACGCTCGACGCGAAGAATCCCCGCAAAAGGCGGACACGTACCCCGCGACGAACGAGAAAGCGAAGTCGCGCGAGCCGCAGAAACTTATATACCCCGAAGTCAAACGGGCACGACCAGCGCGACGGAAATCTCCATTGCTATTTCCACGCGTCAGTCTCCCGGCGCGAACTCCCGCGAACTTCGGATGGTGTCTCGTCATTTACTCCCGTTGCGTATTTCAGTACCGGGACACCGGCGACGTTTCCCTCTTGGTTCACCGACTTCTTCGACTCCCACCACTCGCTTCCTTGTTCTTCCTCGTTCCTGCCGCGGGGTGGTGGTGGTGGAGGACAGTGAATCTCGTGCCAAGAACCGACGCCGCCGCCACTCGGCCCGGGCCGGGTCGGGCGGGACCGGGTCGTGTCGGTCGGACGACTCGACCGGCTCTCTCGGATCGTAGTGAAAGTCGAGGCGAGCCGGGCCGGGAACGCTTAACTCGAGCCGGGCGAAAGTCGACGGCCGGGAAGAAAATAAGGACAAATTGAGTGGAGGAGCGCGCGCCGAAGGAGACTCCGTGAACGCGTACGGGATAAGGCTGCAGGGGGCGGAATTTACGGTGACTGAGTGGTGATTCTATCCAGGGGGCGGGGATGAAAGTTACCACGCGCTCGGGCCGGATTACAAGGTAAATGTTTGCGCTCCAGGTGGCACGAGTTACGAGAACGGGGATAATAGCCGGGAATCGGCTCGGCGCTCCCGACTCAAACTCGGAATTGTCAATACCAGCTCGTTCGTGCCACCCCCCCGACCCCCTGTCGCCACCCGGCGTTGTCGTCGCTGACGTTTCCTCTCTTTTCTTCGGCGCCCGTGTAACCGTCCGCGAGAAAGTTCCGGCGAACAATGACGCCGCGACGCCGGCCGCGGGTGTCCGCGGTCGTCCCTTCCGTTCGCCAATTAGCAAAAAAGATTGAACTCGTAATAACGACGCGTAACCGGCGCCGCCGAACAATCCTTCGATAATGCCCGGCCGGCCGGGAAGCTATTCAATTTCCGTATGAATCGAAACAATTATTATTGTCCGCGACACCGGGACTCGCGCGCTCGCCAACGTCCAGCCACCATTGTCGCTCGGATCGCGGAAATTTCCATAGCGATTAATACGGGATGGGCGTTACCGCGATCCGCGTCGTTACCGCGATTTAGAAAACGCGATCGCGCCGGATTTTCGGGGCCGTAAGTCGCCCCTCTCGCGAACCGGGACCACCCGGACGGGGGTTGGGGAGGTTTTCGACGGAGCACCCGCGCCCGTAGCGTACATTCCGTTCGAACAAAGCGAAAGGGAGGAACGACGCGTTCATCGGAGCCCACTAATCGCTTCCGGAGATAATTGTATCATTCCGCTAATAACTGGCGCGCGGTCGCACCGTCGATCGGAAATGTAATTACATTGTCGATAACACGGGCTTCTGTGTTTGGTTTCGCGCACACGTCCTCCCGCCCCTCGTTGAACCGTACATCCTGTGGACACGCGTTAACGAAGACATCTGCGCGCGTTGAATCGCACGCTGTGAACCGCGCCGTCGCGTTCGCCGCTGGTGTGTGCTTTTATTTGGTTTGCTGTTGAGTTTTCATCGCTTTTAATTATCGTCTAATGTGTGGTCGCAACTGATCTGCGATTGAAACGAGAGAAGAGTGATTATTGCGAGGGCAGTGAATAATTAAGGATCAATCGTGTAACGTTGAAATCGAGAGTAACATTAAGTAGTATACATTATCATTCTTCTCTTAATTCGATGTTAACGCATTAATACATTAGTTATAAAGACTCGATAAATGTTCACGTCAATTCTAATTGAACGATTACATCCGTATATAACCTTTAATTATTTCTTATTTATAGTTATTAGGAATTATTAAGCTCTAACTATTTATTGATCTAATTATTTTATTATCTAAGTAACCTCTAATTTCCAAGGTTTAAATGGACAAACGTTCGTCTGAGAACAATAGAACAAACTAAGCAATAAATCTCCATAATTCTATCGTTAATCGAATTCGAATCACAGCGAATTGATATAAGGATAGACAGAAGTTAGGAAAAACGTTATTGGTACACGCATTCATTCGTACGCGGGGAATTCTCTGCGCCATAAGTATCTATCGTCATAATACCAGGAGCCACACACAGGAATATATTCTTGCCATCCCCGTTTCTCATCTGGAAAAATTCCAACCCTTCCCAATAGCCGGCGTGCAGCCGCCCCCTTTTTCTCGCCGGCTTAATCGGCGTAAATTCTCGTTATTCCCTCCGCGCGATATATTCCCGGCCGGTATTCCTAGATTTCATTTGTTTCCTCCCCGGCCGTCTATGCCGGTTATACAGCGACCGGTTAACTACAAATTCGATATTCGCCCGTGTATTGCCGCGGAAATACGAGGGAAATTTATATCGTCGATTTTCTTTAGCGGCCTTATTGCCGGGCCGATGCCGTCAACGACTCCGGAAAGCGATTTATTGCGCGATTTCCGGTGGCCCGACTCGCCGAGGAGGAACAAACTATATTGCCGCCGAGACAGTTATTCCGCGACGGTCGCGACCCACGAACGTCGTTTTGACGGAATTAAGCGTTACGTTCCCCGGGATTATTGCATTCCCCGCCGGGTCACCGTAGAATACCGTCGCGCTGACCGGTAATTAATTCGGTTACGCGGAAGACGGAACTAATTACTCACGGACTTACACAGCCGGGTGTGTTTCGTTTGAAGGGAATCATCGTCGAATGCGGAACAGACGTCTGTAACCGCGCGGGGTCGTTCATTTGATTGCGGGAAATTTTCGACTAACAACTCCGCCGTTTGTTTTCTGATTATCGAGTCCCGCGGAAGTTCGTCCGCGGTTGCCTCGAGTCACGTCGATTTCGATATCAGAGTCCGGTAAGCTGAAAATCTCCGCGATAATTTGCAGAGTTAATCGAAAAGGATATCGTCCGGATTCCAGGGTTCCCTCCGAATATCCGGAATGATCGATTTACGTAAAACACCTGCAGTTCCATTGAAATGCACTTTTCGCGTACACGGTCTTACGCGAAAAGCGAAGTCGCACGAAAATAGATCCTGCACCAGCTTTTTCCGATCCGCGACAGAATTCGAAGTACAGCCCAATTGCCGGAAATTTCGATGCGTTCCGTGTGGCGCATCCGAACGGTTACATGTAAAATCGTACGTGTTCCGCGTGCGTTTCGCAGAGAATTCGAAATAAATAGCGCGCACGGTGTCATCAACGTTCTCGGGTTTCCTTCGCGAAAGACGGAACCAATACGGCCGGCGAAAAACACAGGAGAAGACACCGCATCCGAAAACCCGCGGGTTTTTGTCCGAGCCGAACGGAAAATGGGGGCGTGCCGTGGAAAGGTTTCTGAACGATGGTTCTTTTGTGTTGCAGACCGGGAACAGTTACAAATCGCCCGAGGAGTCGCCGCATTCGGAGAACACCAGGCTGAGGTGAGTCCCAGCTTTTTACGGCACACTTACCGAAGTTTAATTACGTTCAACGGGGGACGGCCGGCGCTCAAAGAGAATCCGGGCTCGAGGCGCGAGCTGAAATTCCGCGTTAAACATCCGCCGGCCTCCTGGATCCTCGGATAATGCGACGGTTGAGGATCGCTCGGTCTCGGCGGATGTCGGCCTCGCGACGAATGCTCGCGAAATTGTGCCGCGCGATTGCACGGTCAACAATATGCGCGAGAGTCGCCGCTCCGTGAAATCAGCTTCCGTTCGCGTCGCTGCTCGCCGAGAAGAAACGGGAGTTCGATCGGCGGCCGCGCGTTCCGCTAAAAGCTAATGAATTTTGGACAACGAAAGTCAGTCCTCGTTGTCCGAGCGATTAGGGGGGTAGTCGGGGAAGATTTAGCGGGCGTTTCGACCGGCGGCGGCCATTTCGCCGGAAGAATATTTTATTTCCGATTTACAAGCCGGGAAATTAAGCAGCCATGGAGGCGGAATAATTGAACGCGAATCGGACCAGCCGCGCGCCGCGTTGCCGTGGTTTTAATTTACCCTGGATCCGTTTCCATTTATCCGGAACTTTCGAAATGCGTTTTTATCCTCCGACGGTAGGCTGATATTTTGCTTCCGCGTTCCGGCGGGCGAATGGGAACGCGACGCGCCGCGATGTTACTCGGGATGGGACAGGATCGGTGTCCCATAAGAATGAGTGGATGGAAAAAATATCATCGTTCCCGCGTTTCGCCCGAACGGCGGAAGGATTTGGCCTGCGCGTTGAGGAAATCTCATCCACTGTACGTTCGATATCGGTTCCTGCTGATGGCCGAGTATATTCGCGTCTCGTAACCGTGATACCCATTCCCGGGACTATTCTCGAAATACAGTACCAGCACCGCCGTTTCGCGATATCGCTGGCCCCGACGTTCTCTTAAATCGACGACCGCGCTGGGAAGTACTCGGTCCCGGTCGGAAACGAAAATTCGAAGTCGATGTGTAGACCTGTAGCTTTTTTAGGGTATCGGCTCGCTGTGATACTGGCTTGCTCGCGGGCGAAAGTGAAGGATTATCTTTCGGTGATTCTTCGTGGCGAATACCTGATTTTCTAATGAATTTCATTTTAGGACGATGTAGCTTGAATATAAACGTTGGCATTCAGTACCTCTATTTCCATTGCGTTTTATGCGGATATCAGTTATATCTGCTTATTCGCAACTGCTTAACCCTTTATGGACTTTTTGAAACTTATGAGAACTTGTCCACGAAAATGTTGAGTTATGTATCAGTCTCAAACACTAGAAAAGAAAGCCACGTATCTGTCTCTGGTTATTTGAACAATTAAATTATTCATTTGCAGCTTTCGAGTTTAGATATCAAAGCTCGGAGCCATTATGGCGGCATTCGTCCGTAAAGGGTTAACGCGTTAACTGCCACGAAAAATAGTCTTACGTGTCACTTATTCCTTTGTAGCAAAGATGAAATAGGATAATTATTAATTATCTGCTACCACGATTCCAACGTTACATTCTTATCTAGTTATTTGCACTACTGAACATTTTGACGACGTCATGTCTTATGAATTATAATTGTTCTCTAGTCATTTGGAAGCTCTGGCCACCGGTGACCACCGTGGCAGTCAACGTATTAAACAAAATCCTTATGAACACCATAAGATGGACTAATACATTTTAATTATCTTGTTAATTTTGTATAATTTCCAAAGAAAACAACACTACTAAAGGAACACACGTGAGAATCTTAACACATTGTCCACCGGCTAAATTAGCTAGTAAAAACGCGAGCGTCGGTAATCACCGGTAATCATTATACTGATACATTTTTAAACATCAGTCAAGCCGAAAGTTCCAACTTACGAAAAAGAACGAATTCAATCTTGTGATTTCACTTTGGATTTGTGTTATACATATCTAAACTTACACGAACGTAGGATTAGCAATTAAACGATAGACTGAAAATCCCGCATTATCGCGGAGCAATGTATTAAGATAGTATTAAAGACCTTAAGATCTGATTAAAGTATTAAGATCACAGTGATACGCTTCATACGATCAACACGACTGCAACGCGTCAATCGGATATAATAATCCCCACCGCAGAGTTGCAAAGGCGTGAACGATTTCCACGGCGTGTCCCCGTTCCCAGTGCCGATTGCAATACTTTTAATAGAGAATCGGGGGCTTCCGTGTCGACGGCGATGTAACTGCCGCGAAAGGGCGAGCAGACGGGGGCGATTATCTTTCATTACACCTGCGATTCCCAGGTGCAATGTGTTCCAATTAATCGGAACTAGCGGGGGTTTCGAGTCGGCGCGAACACGGGGACGTGGCGGCGGGCCTGGTCAGGCGTGGCACGAGACGCCGGAAGTTGCGAGACCCCCGGACGTCGGTCACGGACTCGGCTCCGACCGGGATTCGCTAAAAGTGAAACGTGCTCGCGATACGCGTATAGAATTCCCGGCGTCGGGTTTCATCCGGCCGATAATAATTTCTGGCACGGGCACCACCGCGGTACGTACACGTGCGCCGTGTACGTGTGCAACGTAGGGTGCACGGCCGATCACGCGGTTGTCGCGTGTTAACGGCCGCTTCGGAACGCGCCGCTAGGAAATCGCTTCGGAGCTATAAAACATCGGACAGTTGCCTACGTAGATTATGCGCCGGCGAAATTTCCATCGCGCGATGACGTTCTCCGGGAGATATTAGATATCCGTGGCCGAAATGTTTGTTCCGGCGACGGAACGCTGAAAATATTTTAACCGCCCCCGCCGGCCGCGCTGGATTTTAATGAATGGGAACGCTGCCGCGATTCGCCGAATAAGAATTGTTAACGAGCCCCGGCTGTTTGTAGGCGAAATTGTAGAATTCAATTCGGCCGGGCTCGTTGTGCGAAACGTATGAAGCTGAATTTCCGGTGTATATTTAAGCGCGACTGTTTTAAGTTCCCGCTGATTTTTTTCACCCGGCCACCGCCTTTTTTTTCTCACGGGAAAAAGCCGACGTCCCCGGCAGAGACGTATTTAATCTTTCATTTTATCGCGATCAATTGAATTTCCGCGAAGTTCCATGGCGACACGAGGTGTCGCGTTTCAAAGGGTTTCGAATCTCTTTACGATTAATCGCGCTAATGCTCGTTTCATTGATATTTGATGGACGGTGTCGAAATACGGGAATCGTATTGTGTATCAGTTTGTCGGAATTTTTCGATGGAATTTCCTCGCCGCGTATATATTTCTACGCGTGGTCTTAACGATAAAATAGCGATTTAATGTAATTACTATCTTTTCCATTGAAATTCTTATCGTCTCTTTCGACTCGCGAAAGGATATAAATACCCAGCTATTATTAATATTATTATAATAGATCATTGAAGACGCTGCCTCTAAAGGAACAGCGTCGTAGGGAACGATATTATACGCGAACGTGGTCGAAATTGTTCGAGGCTCCCTTCGCCGACGAGTGCCTTAAATAGATAATAAATGTAAAGTGCTGCGTCTAATGTCATTGCACTTACCCATAAGAAAATAGCCAGCTCGCGGCAACCACTATCGACCAGCACCTATTAGAATCAGGTACCATATGAAATTACCGTTTCCGTACCTCGAACTAAGAAGTACGTATTTTCCAAGCATTAACGTCCATTAGCTCTCTATTCTCCAACGGGATCTCAACCGCGAGACGAACAACTATTTCCCACTTAGAAAAATTCCAATTATAAATATCTTAAATCGAACGTATTCCGAAACGTCTACGGTCATTCCATCGTCGGATATCTCCGGGAAACGGAGGTGATAAAACTGCTCGCGCCTTCATCGAATCCTATAAACTCGGCCACATGAATTGTTACGCCGCTGGAAAAGAAAATATCTTCCTCTTCCATCATTTTCGATTTGATACGCGTTCAACGGCCAGTAGTTCCCCGCCCGTTCCGTTCCCGTAATTCGGTTCCCGGTTTATCCCGCGAACGGAATTAATCCCCGGGTGAACGCGGCGTGAACATTAACGATTCGAAGGGAAGACGCGTCTAGGCGAGGATAATGGTGACAGACGCGCTATTTATTTGCGAGCAGCAGGAAAAATTATACGTTGCCTGGGAAGAAGCGTTCAGGGAGAAAAAACCGCGGCAGAAAGAATCGCGCGGTTCCGTTACAATTTTTTCAGCCGGACCATTTATCACGCGGACGACGACGTAATAGACGGCGCAACGAGACAACGGTGCCGTTGCGCCCGCGATGTTTTACCCCCGTGGCTGATGCCCGTTCGACCCCGAGCCCCACCCTCCGGCCCTGCCCTCCTCGAGCCGGAATCTTTATCGTAACGGCGCGTCGTGTTTCGGTAACAGTGATTAATTCACAGGGTGATCCCGAAACTCGGGAAGTTAGCGTAACGACTACCGAAGTACGAATTACAATCGGGCTTCGCCAAGGATTTATTACGTACCGCACCGCGGATACTAATTACGGAACGACCGGAATTATAGGGAACTTTTTAAACAGTTTATCCGAACGTCGGGATTTGTATAATTATTAACAACCAGTCGGCCCGGAGCCGGCGGAACTGGGTCGCCCGAACAATTGGAAGGATGGAAACCGCGGATAATTTCAAGCGAATTCTTCCGTTTCACCGAGGTTGTCTTGAACAATGAAGATTTTTTGCGTTCGCTTCTGGATTTTCTGAAGATTCTTTCGAAAGGGAATGCGTCTTCGAAAACGTTTCTTTGAAATAAACCCTTTGCACTCGAGAGGCGCCTTTCAGTCGCCGTTTGATTTGAGCAAAATGATAAAATTTAAGATTCAATGTTAAATTTGATATAATGTATCGACACATGTAGCATAAAAATGAAATAGTTCTGTCAATTTATGCATTTCTTTGTGTTAGTTGTAAGAAATATCATTGATATTCCATCGGAGAATAATGAATATTCGAGAAAAATATTCTCGAGTGCAAAGGGTTAAAGTGTCGAAATAAATAACTTAAACTATA